TATTCTTTCGAATTTGTTGTAATCGAACAAAGTTATAATGAATTCCACAGCAGCGACTTTTGAACCAAACACTTGGCAGCCACTTGGAGCTGACCGATGCGCGCGAGCTGACTGACGAGCGTGTTCAGTCACTTGGAGCCGATTGACACCCCTGAGCTGACCGACAGGTATGACAGCCAATTGGAGGTGGTCGGTGAGCGCACGAGACACAGTTGGTTCACCATTTCGGTTCATGCACTTGTCAGCGTCAGATAATCCTCTTAGACTCGGATAACGACGTTCGTCATCTTCTCTCCATCTCGAGCTATGTGCGGACACCTATAGGTATATTTAGACGCCTACAAGCCCGACTCAAACGGTAGTCGATAAAGGCTCATCAAATCCGTTGATGACTGAGGGTTTGTTAAAAATTATATAATAAGTAGGTCGCAACGATAGATTCGCTGTCAACTTTTATGGAGTCTGTGGTGGTAGTCAAGGCCTTTGTAACCTCCTCCTCCATAACATTACTTTAATAGTCACTGACACGCCAGCTTCATCAGTTGATCTCGTGATTTGAGCACCTGGGTAGCTTCAGAGATAGTAGTTGTATCAGCACCGACGGCTGGTCCTACAATCAAATCTTGCATAAATAGATCAACCTGACGAGCCTCCGATGCATTCTCAGCTTACTCTTCCTAAACCCCGAGAAGTATATGAGTATACAATGTTCCTTCACGCTACAACCCCTTAAGAGCTTAAACTGTGTAGACTCCAATTAGCGTATGAGTATAAATTGTGTTCATGCCGCAACGCCGGTCAATGCGTTACAATGCAGGTCAACGTGTCGATAATTTCACCAAAATAAGGTTCAGGATGATTTTCAGGTCAAAATTACCCCCCGGGAGGTCAATCGCAACTCAAATACAAACTCTCAACGAAGACGATCAGTTTAACGTCGATTCAATGACATGAGCTAATTCAGAAATCAACACACCAGTTTCAGTTCAAGATTTCGACAACGGTCAGACGATAAACGCAACACTAGAAGAATTTCAGACTATTTGATAAAAAAAATACTAAATAGAATGAAAGATGAAAAAGTCAAAGAATTGGAGGCTGGGCTTATCTTATCCAAAGTATTCCAGACTCCTCTATAAAAGAATGAGCCTGAAATACTTTGAAAGGGGTATCTGTAGACATTAAAAATTGCCTATAGGTTCCCGCACACAGATCAAAATGAAGAGAAGACAAAGAACGTTGATATCTAAGTCAAAGGGGATCATCCGATGGCCAAAAAGAAGCAAAGGAATGCGTACGAAACGACGAAATGCACGAAGCGACGGAACGTGATACAATCATGAAGTCTCAAATTGACGAGTCACATCAGAGTGACTCGCAAATGACTAGTCACATCGAAGTGACTCGCACATACAACCTCCTAATGATGCATTTTTTGATAAGTTTCTCGGAATTCGTTCAATCTACTGTCTCCCTAACTACATTGGGAACATCCCTAAACGTGGTAAAGTCGTTTATAACTAAAGATAAAGCCAAATCACGAATTCTTATCCACAAACATGACATCTGAAACCTATAAATACATCCCTAGCGCCCCTATACACGGGGAATTTGGAATTTTGGACTTAGAGGCGAGTTGCTGATGTTTTGAGAGCAGAACCCACGAATTTTAGAGAGAGGGATGCGAGATCTTGACGAACTTCAGCATAAAGCGGGAGGTTTCGAGAGATCTATAACCTTTTCACCCTTCCATTGAGATCAAACATCGATTTGATCTTGAGAAGAGTAGTAATCTCACCTTGTTGAGATTATTTACTTCAGTTCTAGGTTTCCTCGTTGAGACTAAGAACACTACGCCTTCTTCACGATCAATTTGGATCTGATACTCGGCGGTCCACAGATCAAATTAAGTGTCCCCGGTACAAGTAAAGATCCCACGCAAACAGCGACCGATAAACGTTCTCTGCATATGTTTCTAGGAAGTCTTCTTTTTATTTTATTTGTGCAAAGAAGTCTTATAAAAAGGCTCACTCTTTTGAATTTGTAATTCGGTAAACGAGTTGTAATGGATTACACAAATAAACTGACTTTCGACGCAAACAGTTGCGGAGACAGGGAGACTAAAATTCCCCAACAATCTTCACTTCTCACTCAATTGGTCATTACGCATTAATATTCAGACATAAACATAAGACCCCAGTAAAATGACGAGCATCCACAAGTTTAAATTAGAGACGACAGTCTAGGCCCCTTCGCATCCCTTTCTCCATCTTTACAGAATCCAAACTATCGGTGGGTCCCAAAGCGGCACGAACCGCAAAATTGTCGAACGCCGGCTGGCTGCGCCCGGCGGTGGGACCCGCTGAATCTTCTCCTTGTGGATCGCTGTGCGCAAAGGCGTTAGATTTTGGCTCTTTGATTGTGACCTCTCACGCCCAAGAAAGAGACGGCATGGTTTAAGTGTCTTTTTAAGCGTTCGTAACCGAAGAAATCTACGTGCATTGATATGAACATCGTCAAGATTGTGACGTCCGCGCGCGGCTGTACATGATAAGCGTAGGCGATTGTATGTGATACGTATTGGGATACTTGTATTGTTTGCACTCGATTTCTGGGGACACACAAGATGTATTCAGATTTGTAAATAGTGTCGTAAGTTATCCTGAGATTTGGTGAGAGATTTGAGAGCCTTGTTTGAGAGATTAATTTGTGAGTTTTGAGGGAATTTGTAATCTCTATTTGCACACACACTCTCTATATTAGTGAAAACTCATCCCCTTCTCGCCCCATGGACGTAGGCTCATCAATTAAACTAATCCGAGTCAACCCAAATAGACCGAATTGAACCGAATAAACTAATTTGACCTGTTCAGTTTGACTCATCCCTAATCACATCCCTTTGAAGTATATTTCTCTTCTCGAGCTGTTACTGTCTAGTGGTTAGCAATCAATTTTAGAGAAAACATGTAGAAGATAAGAACAACTGTTTTTTGGGTTATTTATGCATATATCCCTTATTTTATGGTTATTTGCAAAACTACCCTCAAATCGTAGTATTTATAAAACTACCCTCCAAGATATCAACTTTGGGGGGAAAGAAGTAGCCCTAAAATCAACAAATCATCAGCTTGTTGAGTAAAAATTTAACTATTTTGATAATAATTTTAACTTTGTAGCTACAAAATGGGCTATCAAAGTTGATGATTGATTGATATAGGTGTATATTTATAAAACCTGATGATTTGATGGGTGGTTTTGCAAATATTCTGATTTGAGAAGTAGCATTGCAAATACGCACAATTTAAGGGTAGATATGCTAATAACCCTTTTTAGGAAAAGATAAGAACAGTTGTACTTAAACATCCCATTAAAATCATGAACAGAAAGAAACCGAGAGTTCACTCTTAAAAATTTTGTGCCAATTAATATAATGGATTTTTGTTGACGTGACATAGAAAAGTCTTGATCATTTAACTTAACTAGTTTATTCCCGTGTAATATTTTAATCATTTGTAGAAATAAAACTTGTGACATAAGGAAGCAACTTGTATTGAATAAATATACTACATTTGACATTTTGTTCTTGAAAATATTAACTCATGACATATTAAGCAAGTTGTATTGCTTAAAAATAAATGAAAACATACAACTCAAATTGACTAAGAATATTAAAAATAATTATTTTTTTAATTAGTACTTAATTACATGACCCGCATCCAAGCAAATAAAATAGAGATATGAACCTTCAATTATGAGAGGAATACGACCTGACGATGGATGTCGTTTCTGGGCCGAAATTAAAATTATCCACACTGCTCTAGCATTATATTAAGTTTGTTTGTTCCGGGGCAAGGCCATGGGCCTAAGCTTTGTTCATTTATGAATCACGTGATGGGAGGCAAAGTTGTAACGTTCGTCATTATTGAGCCTTTCAATGGTCGAAATGGGCTAGGCCGAACTAATTATAAAACTAAAAGCCCATCACATTCCAGGAAATCGAGCACAATCTTTCTGGCTTTCGTTTTTGTTAGGGCCGACATTTTTACATAGCATGCCAAGAGCAAAGGCCCATGTCCTTCCTCTTAAATTTCTAAGATCCGTAAGTCAAAATGAAAAAAATTCTCCTTTTCCTGCTCATATATTAACATCAGTTTCGTTTTTCCAGTCCACGTGACTTAATATCTCTTGCTTAAGTTATCCTAATTTTTTATTTATAGGTCATCCATTCGTTCGTATATTTTCCAAGGTGGCAATATATTTAAAATTATCAACAAGAGAGTCAAGGCTCCGATTTAAATTACAGTTTTTTTTTTATAAAAATGACGATATAGAAATCCAATTTTCAATAGAAATGAGAAATTTGAATTAATCTAGGGACAATAATTTTACATTGCAAATCAAACTATTTGAGGGTTAAAGGCTAGAAAAAGAATTTGACTGAGAGCGCTTTTTCGTTGTCATCGGGTGCCGACTTGTATAAAAACCAAAATAATGGCTTTCCAACCTTTTATTCCCACTAAATTTAGATAGTAAGTAGATTATGGTACAAGTCGTAATTTGTTGTGGAAGCAATCAATAAGAATATACATAGTTCATACTAAAAATAGGTAAATGATATTCATTACAACTAATTAATTCAGGGTGATCTACTGGCAACAATGGAACTTCAGAGGTAATAAATTCAAAACAACATTACTACAAGATGGCCTATGTGCAATTAACCCTCATAATTAATTAGTTGGGAAGCTTAAAATGACGACTAAGAACCTCCTAACAACATAATTTGGACTTTGGTTTTATGTCATTTCCAGCCACACATGATCTCATCAAGTTATATCAAAATGGCTATCCTTTTGACAATCTATACACAACAAAAATACATTCATCCTCTACATAAATATATACACGCATGTATATATTATACTCTCTCTCTCTCTCTCTCTCTGCCCTCTTCTAAAAATGAAGTGACACGTGTCCACATCCAAAGTGCAATACACGCATAAACAAACCACAGCATTTGTATATAATTAAGTACTATGTATTGCTAATACTCTGCTCTTTACTTCTCAGTTCTCAATATAATGTGATAATATATGATTAAAACAATAATGACGATTAATTTCTTAAGTACAAGATAAAGATTTAAGTAGGGTGTGTTAGGGATTAATAATGTGGGATTAATATTAGGGGATGTAGAGCCTGTTGCCGCACTTGCACCTCCAAGCCTCTGGGTAGTACTCGGTGGTCACCGGAGTACCTCCTGGCGGGACCACCACGTGCACCGCACGGCACGGAGAGCACCTGCGCACTTCCCTATGCACCGTGGCGGGTACGAACCGGGCCCACCAAGGCTCCTCCTGCGCACCCGCGGCCAATCATGTACCTGAAAACGGAACAACCCCGGCGCGTGTTAGCATCAAGACGGTACCATTCGCTGAAGTGCGCTACTAGTAGCGCGCCTCTTTATGGGGGAAAATCCAAGTGAAAGAAGGAAAGGTGAAATTTGCTGCACTATCAATTCTAACTTGCTATTCACAATAAAAAATATCGATTAAAAAAATTGAATTAGTACCGAATCAATAAATCATTATATGACCTCTATATGAATTTTTATAGAGGACTCTTGTACATGTTTTTAGATAGAATGTAAAACTATAATCATTAAGTTTCAACATAATTTCAAAGTTTTGATGCAGTCACAAATATATCAGACCAACTAAGATTCAAATCTCACTAAATTTTGGCTCATAAAAATGTCTGTCAACATGTGGGGACATGTTAGACTAAAAATCTGTTAACTCCTCCATTTTTTGTGCAAGAGACAAAGGACATTTGACACTCTCTATCAAGGTAAACGTTATATTGATGATAATTTGCAATTAAAATCCCTATAAAGTATGCTCTAGAAATATTAAAGTTGATAAATAATAACTATAAATTTTAAGTTTTCAATGAAACAAAGTATAATTTCCCCAGATAGAAATGGGACTTCCCTAGACCCAGTCAACCAGAGACGGTATGCTTACGACGCCAGCACATTTTAGTTTACTAAGTGTACTGGTGCTAACGGGCGCCACCTCCTGAAGTGCAGGTTATATGCTACGCAGCGACCGGGTGGCAGGATGCCAGGGATGAAGGAACGTCGCCCCGCTGGCCGCACACGCTAGCAAATGCTACAGTGCGCCGCCAATGATATTCTTCTGACCAGAGAATGGGCAGCTGCACTGTAGCAGCTAACAAGATCATTGCAGCATTTTTTTTTTTTTGTCGTAATTAATAGTGGGGCCAAAATGTAATTATATAGAAAAAGAGGGAAATGATTTATAAAGACTAAAGGGCACCTGTGCATGAGAATCCAAGGTAGAACTTCTGATATCTGGAAAAAATAACAGTGTCAAAAAATAGCAGAAAATTAATAAAAGAGAGTAGGTGCAATAAAATGTAAGATGATGTAATAGCATGTAGCAACTTAGCATTTTGAGAAGGAATATAGCATGTAAAGAGTCTCAAAGATGAGGTCTTTTACTATAATGAATTATATTAATATCTCAAAAAATCTTTGGGAAAAGTTGGAGCTAATGCCAACATCATCATTCAATAGAAGGGGGGAAAAATGATGCCCAACTTTTTAAAAAAATGAAGCTTAATCTCCACAGAACACGAATAATATACTTAAAAAAAACTGCTGAGTGTTAACGAAAAATGCAGTTTATTTAAAAGAAAATCTATCAAATTAATCAAAAATCTTATGTGCGTATTCTTTAACATCTAAATTAAATCAAAATCAAGTGAAAAGTTTTGATTTTGTGATCAGAGGAAAAAATATAGATAACAAACATAATACTAACATAAAAGAATTACTAATGTTATGATGAAAAATCTGAAATGGATATTCACATAATATATAAATTAACAAAATTCAACTAAAAAATGTAGATTTTTCTCACCTAAACAATCACTTCCACAGTTGCTCTCAGTAACTAGAGCAAAAACAGAGAACAAACAGAGAGAGAAACACCACAACAGAGCTATTCTTGCTCTCCTCATCTCTATAGAATCTCACAAAAAAAAAATTGTTTATTTTTTTGCAAATAACAGAATTGCAGAACTCTGGATCTCAAGCGATCTCTTCATTCATCTCTCTCTTTGGCTTCCCGCGTCTTATGGAGCCTTCATCGATCAAGACAAACAGTGTTCCTTTTGTATAGATTTGAAACTCTCTTTCTCTCTCTAGAACTCTTGAATAATGAGTGAGAGAGAGAGAGAGAGAGAGAGAGAGAGTCTCTTTGATGAGTTCCTCTGTTTGAAACTCTTATTTCCTTCTCCCTTCTAAGTTGACAAATATACCCTCCAAAATCTCTGTGTGGAGACTGTTCATGCAAGAAATGGTGTATGAGAGTTTTGGTGTGGTGAGAATACATTGGTAGGTGAGATTGAGATTGGAGAACCAATAGAGTAATGTACTCATGTTTGTTATGATTTCTTAATAGGTGATCAAAATGGATATATTGGCTATATTATTAAAGAATATTGTGTCATCGACTTTTGTTTATATAATACAATGCATGGTAAGATTCAAGCAGAAGGACTTGGATGGATTAATATTAGAGCTATTGGTGTTTTGAGAGTTGGGGACGAGAGACTTGTTGGGGATTCGAAACAATCAAATCGAATCAATGCCCTTACGGACCTTGTGTTTGAGAGTAGGAAAGTAGAAAAATCACAGCAAATAAAAGATAAAACTTACAGGAAAGTAAACAAGAAAGAACACACCAGATTTAACAAGGTTCGGCAACGTGCTTACGTCCTCGGGAGCCGCACCACACAATTCTTTGATTAATTTGAAGAAATATTACAAGCTCACAAACTAGGGTTTAAGCTCTCTAAGATCTCTCTAAAGAATCATCTCAAAACTCTCCTTTTTTATCACAACAAACCCTAAAAATGTTTAGGTATATATAAGATCCCAGATCAAAACAGAATCCCGAACAGATTAGAAAATAGAAAAACCCGACTCCGGTCGACCGGACCATGTCCCGCGGTCAACCGGCCAAAGCGCCAACTTCCTACAGTAGTTTGATGCATGTTCGCAGTCGAACAGATCAGCTCTCGCGGTCGACCGGACAGAGTGAGGTTTTCTTCTCAGTTTCCTGCAGGCATCACGGTCGACCGGATCCACCTCGTCGGTCGACTGACCTGTGTCAATCCTGTTTTCATCGTCTTTTTGATTCAGCTTTGGGTCTACACACTTAAACTAACAATCTCCCACTTGGAGACCAAAGCGTCATTAACGAGCTCACCCGAACTCTCGCCATCTTCGCAAGCATCTTCTCCTACTTGAAAAAAATCCATTCTTCAATCATCATCAATCCGGCGATCCCGCTAATCCTCCTAGTGTGGCTCCGCCTTTGATTCCTATGCGTGAAGGCCAACTGAAATTGCGTACAACTCCAGTTTCCCGTGGTCACTGTTTTTATTAACATGTTCGCAGGATTTTGACTCCCCAAAATCTTCTCTAGCTGTAACTTCTTGTCCTTAATCAGCGAGCATATGAAATGTTATCGTACATTGATGTGCTTCATTCTGGCATGATATATTGGATTCTTGGTAAGGTGTATAGCGCTCTAGTTATCATAATAAAAAACTTTGTTTCCCCGCTTCAGATCTAACTCTTCCAGGCACCCGGTTAACCAAATCATCTTCTTGTTAGCTTCAGTCACTGTGACATACTCTTCCTCAGTTTTGAACAATGTTACAATCTTCTGTAGATATGAGACCCAGCTCAATGTTGTCGACGCCAAGGTATGAACAAACCCCATGGTGCTTCACCTTGTATCATGATCATCGGTAAAATTCGCATCCACATATCCCCGCGGTACCGAATCCTTCCTCCTGAAATATAGCGACTTGTCCATAGTCCCTTTCAAGTAACGCAATATCCACTTCATGACCTCTCAATGTTGCTTTCCTAGATTGCTTGCAAACCTGCTCACAACTCCTACTGCATGAGTAATATCCGGCCTCGTGCAAATTATCGCGTACATAAGACTACCAATGGTTGATGAATATGGTACTCTGCTCATATGATCCTTCTTTGTATTTGTCTTGGGTGATTGCTCCTCAGATAACTTGAACTGACTTCCAAGGAGCGTGCTAACAACCTTAGCATTCTACATGTTGAACCTCTGAAGTACCTTCTCAATGTATTCAGCTTGACTCAACTTCAACTCAACTTCAACGTCCCTTCAACTTCATCTCTACTGATTTGCATTCTAAGAATTTACTTTGTTGTACCTAGATCCTTCATAGCAAACTCATTCACCAATTGCTTCTTCAAGTTATTTATCTTCTCTAAATACGATCCTGCAACTAACATGTCATCAACATACAATAATAACACGATGTAGCTAGACTCGAACCTCTTGAAGTAGCAACAATGATCTGAATTACATCTTCTATACTCATTGCTCTGCATGAAGTTGTCGAACTTCTTATACCACTATCTCGGAGCCTGTTTCAAAAGCTCTTCTTGAGCTTACATACCATCTCTTCCTTTCATTCTTCAATGAAGCCAACAGGTTGTTTCATGTAGATTTTTTTATCCAAATCACCATAAAAAAATACAATCTTCACATTTATCTGCTCAGGGTAGAGATCTTTTGTAGGTACTAAGCTCAACACCACTCTGATGGTTGTATGTTTCACAACGGGGGGAGAATATCTCCATATAGTTCACTCCTTCCCGTTGTTGGAACCCCTTTATAACTAATCTGGTCTTATACCTCTTGCTTTCCTCCCTCTCATGTTTGACCTGATAGACACATTTGTTATACAAGACTTTTTTCTGTGCAGGTAGCTGGGCTAACTCCCATGTCTCATTCGAGTGAAGAGAATCTATCTCTTCTTGCATCACATGCTCCTACTGTTGAGATTCACTAACTTTCATAGCCTCTTCATAGTACTCCGGCTCTTCGCTATCTATCAAAAGTAAGTAATCAAGTGATGAGAGATATCTAGGATTCAGTTTGGGTACCCTGGATGACCTCCTAAGCTCCACGTCCTGAGTAGGAGCTTCTGCACCTGGAGTCTCCTCCGTTCTTCGATCAGAACTAGCACTATCTCCCCCTTCTAGAAGTTCCTCCAAATCTATGTACTTGGATCCATCTGTATCCTTAGTACTACTCCAACTGGTTTGGCTATCATTGGCATTGTCTCCATCATTGTACATCACCTCCTTATTAAATATCACAACCCCCTCTAAAATCCTAAAACCCAATGGAAATGATGGCCCGTGATTAATCAAGTAAGCTGTCGTATGCATCGCGTCCACTCAAAATGTTTTGGGTAGACCTACATGTAGATGCATGCTCCTCGCACGCTCCGTAAATGTCATGTTCATTCTCTCTGCGATGCCGTTCTGTTGTGGCATCCCTAGAGTAGTCCTCTCCAAACGAATCACATTTGGAGCACATAATCTCTTGAACTCCTCCAGCTCGTATTCTCCACCATTGTCTAATCTCAGATACTTCACCTTTAGATCTGTCTCGTTCTCCATCATGGTCTTCCACTTCTTGAAGATCCCGAACACATCTGACTTGTGCTTCATAAAGTATACCCATAACTTCCTCGAGTGATCATCGATAAAGCTAACATAGTACGCCGAACCGCCAAGAGAAGAGACACTAGCTAGCCCCCATACGTCTGTATGAACAAGCTCTATCTTCTGAGCTTTAGGTGGTCTTCCACCCTTCTAAAAACTAGTTCTCTTCTACTTCCTGTAGATACAGTCCTCACAAATACCAACTTCTACCGAATCGATGCCGATTAGCTTTCCTTATGAATATAGAATTTTTATCCCCTTCTCGCTCATGTGTCCCAGCCTATTATGCCATAAATCTGTACTCTCTTTACTAGCTACAATTGTGAGGGTGTCATTCGCATGTGAGGTGAGGTAGAGAGTTCTTGTTTTGTTACCTCGGGCAACCACCATTGTGCCATTAGAGATTTTTCATGAATCCCCGATGAATGTTGAAACATAGCCTTTCGCTCCAAGCTAGCTAACTAAATAAGATTTTCTTTAGCTTCGGTACGTGTCTGACATTCTTCAGATTCCACTTAAAGCCCTTCAACTGTATTTGCATATTACCTCCTCTAACAACATTACGGGGTTCATTATCCCCCAAATATACTTTCACAAAGTTTCCTACTACATAGTTATGAATAAGCTTTCTATTAGCAGTGGCGTGGAACGAGGCTCCTGAATCAATAACCCATGAATCAGAATCACTATCCATAGTAAGGATCAAGGCATCTTGCACGAGATGAGCCTCCTGCTCATTTGCATCCTTCTTCTGTGCTTTACAGGCTGAATACATATGGCCCTCCTGGTCGTAGTTCCAACACTTCCTTTTAATAAGCCTAACTTTTGAGTTTGACCTCTTCTATCTCTTCTTGCATCACATGCTCCTACTGTTGAGATTCACTAACTTTCATAGCCTCTTCATAGTACTCCGGCTCTTCGCTATCTATCAAAAGTAAGTAATCAAGTGATGAGAGATATCTAGGATTCAGTTTGGGTACCCTGGATGACCTCCTAAGCTCCACGTCCTGAGTAGGAGCTTCTGCACCTGGAGTCTCCTCCGTTCTTCGATCAGAACTAGCACTATCTCCCCCTTCTAGAAGTTCCTCCAAATCTATGTACTTGGATCCATCTGTATCCTTAGTACTACTCCAACTGGTTTGGCTATCATTGGCATTGTCTCCATCATTGTACATCACCTCCTTATTATGATGTTCTTCCTGTTCTTCTCATCCCAAAATCGATACCGGAACTCATCAATGTCGTATCCAATGAATATATACTTCTGTGACTTAGTTTCTAACTTGTCCCTGACATGGCCACTAATATGAATATATATCACGTAACCAAATACTCGCAAGTGTGAGAGATTGATCTTCTTGCCACTCCAAACCCCCTCTAAAATCCTAAAACCCAATGGAAATGATGGCCCGTGATTAATCAAGTAAGCTGTCGTATGCATCGCGTCCACTCAAAATGTTTTGGGTAGACCTACATGTAGATGCATGCTCCTCGCACGCTCCGTAAATGTCATGTTCATTCTCTCTGCGATGCCGTTCTGTTGTGGCATCCCTAGAGTAGTCCTCTCCAAACGAATCACATTTGGAGCACATAATCTCTTGAACTCCTCCAGCTCGTATTCTCCACCATTGTCTAATCTCAGATACTTCACCTTTAGATCTGTCTCGTTCTCCATCATGGTCTTCCACTTCTTGAAGATCCCGAACACATCTGACTTGTGCTTCATAAAGTATACCCATAACTTCCTCGAGTGATCATCGATAAAGCTAACATAGTACGCCGAACCGCCAAGAGAAGAGACACTAGCTAGCCCCCATACGTCTGTATGAACAAGCTCTATCTTCTGAGCTTTAGGTGGTCTTCCACCCTTCTAAAAACTAGTTCTCTTCTACTTCCTGTAGATACAGTCCTCACAAATACCAACTTCTACCGAATCGATGCCGATTAGCTTTCCTTATGAATATAGAATTTTTATCCCCTTCTCGCTCATGTGTCCCAGCCTATTATGCCATAAATCTGTACTCTCTTTACTAGCTACAATTGTGAGGGTGTCATTCGCATGTGAGGTGAGGTAGAGAGTTCTTGTTTTGTTACCTCGGGCAACCACCATTGTGCCATTAGAGATTTTTCATGAATCCCCGATGAATGTTGAAACATAGCCTTTCGCTCCAAGCTAGCTAACTAAATAAGATTTTCTTTAGCTTCGGTACGTGTCTGACATTCTTCAGATTCCACTTAAAGCCCTTCAACTGTATTTGCATATTACCTCCTCTAACAACATTACGGGGTTCATTATCCCCCAAATATACTTTCACAAAGTTTCCTACTACATAGTTATGAATAAGCTTTCTATTAGCAGTGGCGTGGAACGAGGCTCCTGAATCAATAACCCATGAATCAGAATCACTATCCATAGTAAGGATCAAGGCATCTTGCACGAGATGAGCCTCCTGCTCATTTGCATCCTTCTTCTGTGCTTTACAGGCTGAATACATATGGCCCTCCTGGTCGTAGTTCCAACACTTCCTTTTAATAAGCCTAACTTTTGAGTTTGACCTCTTCTTGGTTAACTTTGACCGGTTCCTGTTCTGGTTACCCTTCTTCTGGCTTCTGCCTCTCTGTTCAAGATTTAGGGCTGATCTTGAACCTTTTGATTCGAATGGTTTTCTTCTAACCTCATCGAATAGAAGCATGCTAACAACCTCGCTCAGCTTCAAAATTTTCTTCCCCGCTGAATTGTTAATTGCGGTCATACAACTTGCCTAACTATCCCACAACTGTGATAGAATCAATAGGGTATGCACTTCATCATCAAACGTGATGTCCACGGGGATAAGTTGATCAACAATCGCGTTAAACTCGCTGAGGTGCATCCTTCTGTCATCTTGAGGTTGAAGAGTGTTTTGACGAGATGTACCTTGTTTGTGGCTGACGGTTACTCGTACATCTTCGCGAGCTCTTTCATAAGACCCACTGTCGTCTTTTCATTCAATATATTATGTGCGACTGTCTTGGCGAGTGACAATCGGATTTTCCCTAGAGCCTTCCTATCCAGTATCTCTCACTCCTCTACTGATTCTTCTTTCTTCTTTCCTTTAGCTTTGCCCATCAACGGGCGATACAAGTCCTTCTGGTACAGATAGTCCTCCATCTGCGACTTCTAGTAGACGAAGTCTGAACCATCAAACTTCTCGATCTTAGATTTGCTTTACTCTGTCATGGCTCTCACACAAACCTTCTGAACGAAGCTCTGATACCAGTTGTTGGGGATTCAAAACAATCAAATCAAATCATTGTCCTTCCGGACCTTGTGTTTGAGAGTAGGAAAGTAAAAAAATCATAGCAAATAAAAAATAAAAGTTGCAGGAAAGTAAACAAGAAAGAACACACCAGATTTAACGAGGTTTGGCAACGTGCCTACGTCCTTGGGAGCCACACCACATAATCCTTTGATTAGTTTGAAGGAAGATTACAAGTTCACAAACTAGAGTTTAATCTCTCTGAGATCTCTCCGAAGAATCCTCTCAAAACTCTCTTTTTTTAATGCACAACAAACCCTAAAAACGTTTAGGTATATATAGGATCTTAGATCAAAACAGAATCCCGAACATATTTGGAAACATGAAAACCCGACTCCGGTCGACCGGATCATGTCCCGCGGTCGACCGGCCAGAGCGCCAACTTCCTACAGGAGTTTGGTGCACGTTCGCGGTCGACCGGATCAGCTCTCGCGGTCGACCGTACATAGTGAGGTTTTCTTCTCAGTTTCCTGCATGCATCACGGTCGACCGGATCCACCTCGTCGGTCGACCGACCGGCGTCAATCCTGTTTACTTCGTCTTTTTGATTCAGCTTTGGGTCTACACACTTAGACTAACAAGACTCCCTTAAGAAGTCGATGTTGAAACTGTTCTTAGTCAATAAAAGCATCATGACTTTCTTTTGATGCTCATATTAATGATTTACAAATGATAATATTGTAATCTAAAAAATTGTATTGTGTATTATCATGTAGATTGTTATTAATATTTTGAACTCATTTCAATACATAGAACCTGAAGTTATCAATAGTAATCACAATAAATCTGAATAGACTATGTCTCTCCAACTACTTCCAATCTACTGGAGAGAGATCGAAATGCGAAATCTTCTGCTGAGATCAACAGGAAGGGCCCCACGCTTCTTTTTCAAGCAGTTTGGATGAGTTTTGGAGGAGAATTAATTGCCATAACCCTCACAATTATGTTAGATGAGCTTCAAGCTGTCAGGATTCTACTGACACATAGATCCCTACATTTCTGTATTCTTTTCTTCTTCCAGGAGAACTTCTATGCATATGTTTATGAACCCTTTGCAGCAAAATGCTCAAATTTATTAAAACTGTCACTGTTATGAGCGTCATCATCAAAACTTTTGCCACATGCTGAGTACTAATTGAGAAACGACGCTAATCAAATTGGGAAGTATCATGATCGTTTCAGAGAAGAGAACCACAAACATTATTGCATATTTTAATCTGATGGAAACCAATTCTTCATTGATTATAGTTGTTGATTGGACTAACCATGACCTGTTAGGCGTACACCTGGCTCTGGAACCAACATTATTTGGCACCTAAACAATCACAGACATGGATTTTAGGAAAGTTTGGACTCCGTCATTCAAACTTGACTTGACTAAATCGTACCCATTTTTATTTAAGAAGACAAAATAAAAATCAAAACTATATGGTATTTAAGTGCATAGAAGCTAGGTGTCATGAGAGCCCCGCATGCAAGCTGTACGAATCTTATGTAAAAGCTCAAAATCGTGTGTAGCTCACAAGAGGAATGTTCTACTAGAGCATCTCCCAGAGTGATCTTAGGTTTTCTCTATATTTGAGGAGCAAATCTCTTATCTTAGAAAATATGGAGCCAAATAAAGAGTAAGTGCTCCAGCAATGCTCCTTAAATGGCTCCCTATCTCATATCTTAGACTAAATATGGGGAGTAGGACGGGGAAAAAGTTGCTTCAACAATGTTCACTATATTGAGACTAAATATAGGGAGTCGCTTCGTTATCCTTGATTTGGAATACCAAATTATATTCCTTATATTTAGTCTCCAATATAGGGAGCCTGTTGGAGCAACTTTTCCCCCTCCTACTCTTTATATTTAGTCTAGGACATGAGATAGAGAAGCTGTTGGAGATGCTCTTAGCGTTTGGATCGTTGGAGTTAAAGAGCCAGTGCGATAATTCCATTTAAGTACCCTTCCACTGTACTAAACTTCTGAAGTATTTTCCTAAAAACTAAAATTCTAGAACTGTTGTGAGGACTATAATTAATGTTTTAATATGACTTTGCAGGTTGAATGACTTTTTATAGTCTAAAACCTAGATTACTTTATGCAATGTTAGCCTTTTGGTTTGTTTAAATGTGTATTTGACAGAATTCAAATCAAGACTGCTAACTTCAAATTGTTTTATCCAACAATTTGTACTTCAAATTTGCTTTCAATAAGTGGCCAGCAAAATTTGAACATAAAATGTCGAAACATCCCAAACTTTCTTCTCGCTGCACCAAAGTGTTAAAATTGCCATGAACATTGTGGATGAAAATTTAATATTCTACCAACACAAAATATTTAAGGAAAATGATAGGGGCACACCTTTAACCACACCTCCAACCACACCCTCCTCTCTCATTTGCTATAGTGCACCGGGCCCCACATGAGATTTTAAAAATTAAAATCTCATGTGGGGCTCGGTGCACTGTAGCAAATGAGAGAGGGGGTGTGATTGGAGGTGTGGTTGAAGGTGTGCCCCTAGTGCCACCCAATATTTAAGTGGCTCGTCATTGGACACAACATCAAATATGAACACCGCAACCTTTCTCTGACCCAATTGCCAAAGATTTCCTGAAAAAAAATACAGCGAACCCAATCGGAGTTCAGTTAAAAAGAAAAGTAAATATATAACACAGAGAATCCAAGTACGCGGTTGTTTCGCGTGGCAGAATCTCTGCAACCCATGTTCATAAATCTTGCTATCTTTGGGTCCTTATACATACTCCTCTGCCTTTTACTCTACTGACTACTAACTTCATCAAATCTGGAAGCACAGCAGGAAATTTACAATTTACTACCTTTAGTTGGGTCTCTCTGCAAGTTTTTTTTTACTTTTTTTCTATTTGGTTGTGGGGGGTCCCATTTGTTTCCTATTAAAGCTACTTTTGTGTCGAGTCTTGGATTCAGACAGTGTTTTAATTGATGGCTTATGGTTTTAGTTGGGCATGTTGACGTAACATCAAGCATACGAGGACAAGGTGGGGCCCCGTGCATTTATGAGATTAGTAAGATCATAGAAATTTGATATTTACAGTTGTTGTAGGGGTGAGAATTACATGAATAATGGTAGAAGGAATTTTATTAAGTTATATTAAACATTCGTTGATTTTCTTAAGGGAAAAGAGTGCAGAACACCTTACATAGAAATAGTTTGATATGTACTTCTATTAAAAGAGCCAACAAAATTGTAATTTTCTATAAAAAAAAATGCGTAAATCAAAATTCAAGAGAAGCCTTGTGAGTGGTGATAATTTCTCTTCGAACACCTACTCGTTGTTAAGAAGAAGTTGTACCGGGTAAACTGCAAAAGGTAGTAACTCCCGAGTTTCTTTAGAGATTTCCCAGAGAC